CCCCCCCCCCCTTTGTCCCTTTATTTTTTATTCGTTTAATTTTCTTTTTTTTCTTCCGCATTTTATTTAATTTTGCTCCAAATCCCTTTATATCCACATCGCTTCGTTCCTACACAGTTAAAATATAATATTAAGCATAAAGTAATATAATTAATACTCAAAATATGATTAAAAGTACTAAAATTTGAGGCAACAATGGTTAAATATATGCATTTTTGGCCAAACATCAACACCCCACACTTAGACTCTTGCTCTAGTAAGCATTAAAATCACTCTCAATAAATCAAACCTAGAAACACCACAACTTCGGTTGATACTAATAATTAGGCTCTATAGCAACTCAAACCATCAGATATACACTTATTGATCATCGTGCAAGATATACAAGTCACAAACAAACAACAAACTTCTAACCTTCTAACCTCAGAGAGGGACTCTAATTCACTAAATTTAAGTTCGCTCACCTACTCTGTCAAATAAAGCTAATAATATCACTTATCTATCATGATACAAGTGCCCTAATAAGAATAAATAGTCCATACATTCAAATCAAAGAATGGATATAATTTAAGGACTTAGCATCAAAGAACACTCTCGCACTCACAAACGAATTCACATGTATGCACAAAGAACCATAGGCTTGCCCATTATGTACATCTCTACTAACTAAGTATACTCGAATAGAATCAAATAGGACTTTAACGGGTTGTAATGTTGGCTAAGGGACGGGTAGGAGAACTATGTAATAGTGAGTTACACTTCCCTAAGCACTTTTCACTTTTAGACTCCAACACCCATTATTTTCATCTCTTAATTTGATTTTTCAGCCCTCTCTTCATCAATTATTTTACAAGTATTTTCCTTATATTAAGAATGTTTCATTTTTTTTCAAAGCAATTTTTCTTCATTCTTTTTTTTTCATGTCACATTCTTTTTGAGAGGGACTTTCATCACTTTTTAGCTATCGTTGAACACCATTTTTCACTTATTCATCCCTTTCTTCAAATTTATCATAGTCTAAGCAACAGTGCTCAAGGAATCAGGGTACAAAAACTAGGGATTCAACAAAAGAATCAAGGTAAAAATACGGCTTCCTATAACGACCCGGCCGGTCGTTTTGAGTATTACAATCCTGTTTCCCCATTTACTGCTCAAATTGAGCTTTATAGTTGTTGTGTGACTTTCCGGGGCAATTGGTTCGGGTCCGGTGAGGTTTTGGAATGAATTGAAATACTTAGTTCCAAGGTTTAAAGCTTAAGTTAAAATAGTGACTGGATGTCGACTTATATGTAAACGACCTCAGAATTTAATTCCAATGATTCCAGTAGCTCCGTATGGTAATTATGGACTTAGGAGCGTGTCCAAAAATTTATTTGGAAGTCCGTAGTGAAATTAGGCTTGAAATGCCGAAAGTTGAATTTTTGGAAAGTTTGACCGGGGGTTGATTTTTTGATATCGGGGTCGGAATCCGATTCTGAAAATTTGAATACCTCCGTTATATCATTTATTACTTGTGTGCAAAATATGAGGTCAATCGGACGTGAATTGATAGGTTCCAGAGTCGTTTGTAGAAACTAGAAATTTCAAAGTTCATTAGGCTTGAATTGGGGGTGTAATTCATGATTTTAGCGTTGTTTGAGGTTATTTGGGGTTCGACTAAGTCCGTATGATATTTTAGGATTTGTCGGTATATTTGGTTGAGGTCCCGAGGGGCTCGGGTGAGTTTCGGGGGTTAACGGATCATTTTTGGCCTTGGTGAGAATGTTGATATCTGTTGCTGCATTTTTTTGATTTTCTCTTTCGCGTTCGCGAGTGGGCCCTCGCATTCGCGAAGAGTGTTTTCTGAGTGTGAGGTTTTGTTCTTCGCGTTCGCGAAGGGGAGGATTTGCAAAGCTTCGCGTTCGCGGAGAGTTAAATTTGTGGGCAGTCGACTTGTGTTTCGCGAACGCGAGGGACCTGTCGCGTTCGTGAAGAAGAGAGGCTTGGACAGAAAGTTTAAGTTCAGAAAATGGGACTAGCTCGAATTTAGGCGATATTTGGGCGATATTCATAGGAAATAACGGGGTAAGTATTCTTAACTCAATATTGGTTAAATTACCCGAATCCATGGTTGTTTTTATCATTTAATTGATGAATTAAGTTGGAAAAGTTTGAAAACCCTCTTAGTTTAAATTGAGGATTTGAAGGCCGAGTTGTGGTCGGATTTGAGTAATTTTAGTATGGTTGGACTCGTGATTGAATGGGGGTTCGGATTTTGTGATTTTTACCGAATTTTGAGATGTGGGCCCCATGGATAATTTTTGGGGCGCAATTTCGGATTTTTGAAAAATATTAGTATTTTGATATGGAAATAATTCCTATAATTTTTTTGGGTTGAATCAAATTATTTTGACTAGATTCGAGCCGTTTGGAAGTTGATACGCGCATAATGGGATTTTTGGAGCATTGTTTAGCTTGCTCGGCATTGGATTTGGCTTGTTCGAGGTAAGTAACTCTTCTAATCTTGGAGTTGAGGGTATGAACCCTGAATATATGTATTTCGTGAATTGTTGGGAGGTGACGCACATGCTAGGTGATGAGCGTGTGGGCGTGCACTATAGAAATTGTGACCTAATTATTTCTGTGAAAGTTTATAGTTAAATGATCTTGGCATTTTCCATGCGATTTTATGAGTTAAAGAAATTGAGCTGAAAAGCATATTAAAAATCATGTTGTGGCTATGTGCCAATATTATTGGGACCCACAAAAGTCATATTATTGTGAAATATTTATTTTAAAATAAAAATTTATACTCAGTCATATTCATTTCATTGCATATCATATCTTAGTCTCTATTGTTATTTATTGATACATCA